AATTGATGGTTTTCATCGAAAAATATAAGTAGGTGCTTTTGAAATGCGTTCTTGGTAAGAATATTAATTAGCTTCCAAAAAGAATACTTACAATGTACCTTTTTATACGTCAAGTTTTATAAAAACGAATTTTAAGAAGAAATCGATTATTTGTCTCTATCTAAAGGTGTATAAATATAATTTCATGCGATACAATCTCATTGACTTTGTAGAAAAGTTAAGCCGATTAATTTTGGAAATAAAAGATAATTGACGAAGGTCATAGACGTATTCCATGAGTGAATAATATGTATATTAACGTAACGATTATTATCAAGAGTGGAAAGTTCTCATTGAGTCTCCGTCTATTCGTGCGGAGGATGTATGGAGTTAACACGCTTATGGACTAAAGCCAGCTTAATTTCACGTCGCACGGCGCCTCGCGTTCCGTGCTCGCCTCAAAGAGCTATCAGACCGCCACACATGGGGCCTATTAGGGCTGATACTCAGAGGCGGAGGACTTGGCTGGTTGCCGGGACTCCGGCTCGAAGTGCAGGAGTAGGAATAGGGTGATTTTTAGTAAGAGTCTACACCGTCTCGCCTCACCCGGGCGTGGGAAAACATTAAATGATTTTCTCGCCTCAAAATAAAAAAAAAGGTTAGCTTCACGTAAATAAGTCCGTACCTATCACACGTATGCTGTGCGGGGCGCAGAAGTAAAACATCTTCAGCGTAAGTCACTTATTATCATCTACTCTGTAATAAGTGTTTTTTCTTATTTCAGGTCCAGATATCATGTAAATATTTATCATCTTCAGTTAGAACAACAACAGCCAATGACTGTAGCTGATTTAAGGATTCTTCTTGCATGGAGAAGCTTTGAGCATTAATAAACACTTGCTCGAAAGGGATTTCAAACATTCAACAATTTATAAAAATTAGAAATTGTAAGTACTCAGAATAGAACAGCAACAGATCAACTACAAGTAAATTCATAGTAATGATCTAGTCTACTATTCTATTTTTTTTTCAGGGTTTGATGATGCGCACTATCATTTGTAGTGGCCATGACGTCACGTGCTCACTGGCGCGCGAAAACTTGAGTTAAGTTTAATCATTGAAATTCAGCAGTCAAGCGGGCTTGACTGTGGTTGACCCAAGCACCCGTATCTTCAGCAAGACCTTCTTTCTAATACGTGTGATAATTATACTCTAAATCACCATAATCTTTGGTATGTAGGAATCGTAGTAATTTGCGTTCTATAGTCTCTGCCTATCCCCATGGAAGACAGGCGTGAAGTTATGTATGTATATATCATCATAATCATAAACATAACTTTATCACATTAATATTATAATTGTCTAAGTTCCTTTGTTTGGATGTTTATCCGTCAATCGCGCTGAAACTGAAAGTATTATGATGAAAGTAGGTACACAGGCAGGGTATGGGCTGACTTATGTGATATTAAATTTTATCCCGATTAAATGCTCCCATGGGATAAAAGTCTAAGTTACGGGCAACAGCTAGTACCTAATAATCACACTTTGTTTTTATTTTACTTTTTCACTGGATAAGTTAGTAAACGAGCAGACCGTTCACCTGATGGTAACCAATCGTCGCCGCCCAAAGACACTTAAACCACCAAAGGCGTTACAAGTGGTGGGCAGATTAGGAAAGGGGATAATTGAGCCTCCGGTAACGTCACTCACTCGACGATACACAACGAAAGCGTTGTTTCATGTCGGTTTTCTGTGCGTGCATTCGTACCGAAGAATTTAAAATAATCTCACTTTCCCTCTTACTATACTTATTGTGTCATTTTTAAATAGTCAAGTACTATAACATATGCTAGCTAAGGAGCCTCCTCCTTACGGGACACGTGAGGCAGCGAAACGCTGCCTCCTCGCAATCCAGCCATCGCGAAGGACACTCAGGGCGTCGGGAATCGCGGGACGATCTCCGGCCACCGTACGGGCGGGCCCGCGGACGGCAAGCATGGGTGGCTCCCCGTCCGACCAGAAACAGACCCGAGCGTACGGCGCGTTGCGTTCCGCGTGCGTCTCAAAGAGCCATCAGACCACCACGGAAGGGGCCCAACAGGGCTGATGCCGATTCGGAGCCGCGGTTAACCTAATGGGTTACCGGGGCTCCGGCTCGAAGCGCAGGAGAAGAAACGGGTTGGTTTTTAGATAGTAAGAGTCTGACACTCCCTCCCACCTCACCCAGACGGGACTTCGATGATTTTCCCCCTTAAACACCCTAACACACACACACACACACACACATCCTAACACCTATGAACCACACACCGATTGAGTTTAAGACTCAGTCAATCACTAAATTGTTTCCGATAATCCGAAGAAACCCACTAACACTCTGCGTAACTCGGGAATCGAACCTGCAATATATTGCTCGTCACAGATTTCTATCACTCTCCCATATAAACAACCATAGGTACGTGAGCATATGAAAAGAAAAGTTTTAAAGAAATTGTAAGGAACATCAATCAGATAATAAATCCACTAATAAGCAGTAAATACCTACGTATTAGACTGACTATTCCCTTCTATATCTACCCACGAATAATGCTAAATTTTACTAAGCGCAGCATTCAAGTTTGTCACTGGATAGAAACGATAGCGCAGAATTTTATATTGACCTCAATATTGGTCTCCTTTTGAAATGTCAGTAAAAATCATCAAAAGTTGTTAGTAACGAATTTTGAACCTATCTGCTTATCCTTTTCGAAGAGCAAAGTTCGGATGTTTTACAATGTGGTTTATAGAACCCCTAACGCCATCTATGTTGAACTATAAGAACTAAACTAAAACTTAAACTTGGGAGCCCTAAAAATCTTCTTTATATAACAACACTGTACTTAATATTGCCGCGTCGATATAAAATTATTAATTAACACTTATTTAAAAAACATTGAAATGCTCTTTCCTAGTTTTGGTACTACTAACGCCATCTATGCAATAATAACGCAAAATAAACCAACAGGACTACGCTAGTGACCACAGGTAGATTAAAGTAAATTTCTTATGGTTAGTGTTGTCTATGCCAACATAATAGCTGTCAACTATTTAAAAACTTACTTAATAATTAAAAACCTAATCATTTAGTTCATTAAAATAACCAAGAATAGGTTTTAAAATTAAATTAAGACTTGAGCCTTGACTACTAGCGCCATCTCGTAGCTTATGCATTCAATTGCAAGCAGAACTCAGAGTCACAATAGTTAGCGAAACAAAATACAGAGGCGCTAGTTGCAGTGTCGTGAAAATAAATTTTCCGAGGGTAAATAGAAGCGTAGAATAAAATGGTTACCTTATTCTTTTAGTGGGTCTCGTAGCAACTGATTACTCAATTAATTTAGATGGACAGTAGCACTCACTGTTAAATCTAAACTTAGAACTTTTTAATATACGATCTACAACCCGATTGTGAAATGTGGAGATTATTGGAAATCCATTTTTTGAAACCATCGTCTAGCAGTAGATTGATGAGTCAATAATATTTTTTACATAAGTATTAACTGTTTATAATAGACATAGTGTACTTACCGTTTACCGAATTGCTGTATGCTACATGAAAAAATGCTAAAATGCTATATGGAAGATAAATACAACCAGATCATGAATGTAGATCCTATATAAACATCATGAATGCAGTTCTGAAATCTAAATTCGGTTTTATATGTGTCTATATGCCGCTGTTCTGGGACACCCTGTAAATTTACATATAGTATGTATGCATAGGTCCCTATAATACAGATTACAAAAAACAAATGTAATAATAAAATGATTTTATGCTGTGATTAAAATTATGAATTTGATGATGATAGTACGTATGAAGTGTACTTAAATATCGAATCTCGAATGTATAAAAATAATGAACAGAGTAAAGTCACGGGTATGTACAGATGTCACACAATTATCTTATATCTTATACTATTATATAAAGTGGAAGAATTTGTTTTTGTTTTGTTTGTTTGAACGCGCTAATATCCGTAACTACAAGTCTGATTTGAATAATTCTTTTTGTGTTGGATAGCGCATTGATTAAAAGGCTATAAAACATCACGCTACGACCAATAGGAGCTGAGCAAAGTGAGTGAAACCGCGCGGAAATAGCTAGTTGTGAATAGAATCGCTTTTTAAGAATAAGGAGTCAGTTGCACAGTTTTACATAAAGGTCCACCAGACCAAAGTCCAAGACCAAAGAACCAGATAATATCGCCATCACAACTTGGCATAACATTACAATATATTCCCAAGCGGTCACCGGTGACATTTTATACCTTATTACCGATGCTTAGATACTACTTTTGTAGGAACAAATTTTAGGGATTTATATCAAGTGATTAATGAATCGCTAGCAAATGACTGCTAAACAAGCAATATTTGGTGACAGCTTTAAGTTACAATACTAACCTAAATTACTTTAACATGATTAAAAAATCGGGTGTTATAATATTCACCTTTGTCTATTCCTTCGAAGAGGGTAGAAGAATGACATTATGGTATTAAAATTACAATTCATATACCCATCTGGTTTCGGTTATTAGTCAGACTGTGAAACTGACGACAACAACTAAAAAGATAAACGAAATGAGTTCTTGTAAAAGAATTACTTATTATTACCTAACTAGCTTTTACCTGCGGCTTCGCTCGCGTCCCAAAAGGATAAAAAGTAGCCAATGTGTCATATAACAATACACACAGCGCCATCTATACCAATAATTTCGTTTTCCCTCGAGAATATCAAATTTTTCCGGGATAAAAAGTACCTTATTATTTAATCCAGACTTCTAACTTTACATCTGCAAAAATTCAAAGCAATCGGTTCAGTAGTTACGGCCTGAAAGTGGACCAAACAAACAAACAAACTCACTTTCCGATTTATAATAGGTATTAGTAAGGATTAAATGGACAAAAATGACCCTAACAAAAGCCACATATCACTTACCTAAGTATTTATTGTAAAGATAAATATTTGATTAATTACTACAACTCACCATCCATTCGGCCATCTCCGTGCCAGTCTTCTTCTGAAACAAATTTTCGTTGTTTTAGTACATTATAGTCTTATATATTTCAAAAACATTAAATCAGATACATAAAAAAGATACGTTGTTATTCAACAACACTGCTTCATTGGCCGAGTGGTCGCAAGTGCGACTGCCGGGGCAAGCGGTCTCGGTTTCGACCGGGTTGGGCAAAGTACTAATGATTTTGTTTTAATTCTCAGTAGTAGCACGGAGTCTGGAATTGTGCTTGGCAATAGGATCACCCCCTATTACATGGGACTCATAACATAAATAGTAAAAAGTGGTTGTTATATTGTACAGGGGCATTAATTGCCGTAATGTGCACTTCTGCCTACACCTTCGGGGGTAAAAGGCGTGATTTTATGTTATATATTATTAATATGAATAACAACCTGGCTTTACACTAGGATTATCTCACGTGTTGTTAATGTCTTTGCCACACATATATTTTTTGTTTTATAGGTCAGCGTTTGGCCACTATCTCGCCTGGTGGTAAGCGATGCTGTGGTCGACGATGGACCACGCCTAATAAGCAACCTATTCACTCGAAGCTTCAAGACACCAAGGTTGTACTTTTTTGAAAACACATGAATTCTAGTCCCGGTTCGCGCCAGAAGCACACATTATTTTACACAAACATCAAATCTAGACCCGGAACAACCATTGCTGTGGATCATACAAATAATTGTTTCGTGTTAAAATTGAATACGTCATTACGGCGCCAATCATGCAATCACTACATAAAGTTAAAAGATTAGATTTTTTGTCGTTTTTTTTTAATAACCGTGCAGAAGAATATAAAAAAAGAAAACACAAAAAACAAGATTATATTTAAATGTGCTACAACAGAAAACAAACAATCAAACTAATTAAATTCGAGTAAGTACTTACATCTCAAAAAGCATTTATTTATAAGTACAAACATCAACCCTACAAATAAAATGGTAAAATACATTTCGTATTCCTATTTTACCTTTCAAAGACACAAAGAAATATAGAATAAGTTAAAATTATCCGGATTTATAGAAACTGATGTTGCCAAATTTTCCTCCTTGGCCTTTCGTGGGCAATGATCCATAAATTTACATAGATCCTACTCGATTTGGCTGACTGAACATTACGTGCCATTGTATTCTTTGGGAAAAGGAAAATTGTACCTGATTGGGTCGTATTCTTTGCTCTGTTGTTAGTTTACCTTGTAAGATAAACAAAATTACATGTAGGTGGATATTTGTATTATATTATCAGTTTTCTTGTGAATGAGTCGGTGTGCTATGAATGTCTTGTTAAGAATAATTATGTTCAATTACTGGCCTCGTTTGGTTTATGTTTTTGTGTTTGATTTACCTCTTATTTAAATTGATTCGTTCACAAGGGACCCAGACCCGGAACAACAATTTGTGGGTCACACAAAGAGTTACCCTGTGCGGGATTCGAACCCGCCATGCTCAGCCACAGCAACAACCGTGCCGTCGAACATTCTTCCTTAATGTTACTAGAAATAAAACTGACGTTTTGGCCTTTTGGGAAATTTAGATAAGAAATTGAAGTTTAGTGGAGAATTAAGGCATCTTTTTTATACTTGACAGGATGGCGTAAGCCACCATCTCGCCTGGTAGTGAGCGACGATGTAGCCGACGATGGAGGACGTCTACCTATGAGCAACCTGTTCACTTGGGACTTAAAAGTCAATGCTATGGTATAAATTTGGTGCTAATAATGATCTTAACAAAATAAGACTGTCAACTCTTCATCACCACATGGCAGCGCCAATTATTTATTTATTTAATATGCATGCACAAAATGTATTGATAGGTGGACTTAATGCCACCGGCAGATTAATAAAAATATCTCTAAGGGACTCACGGCGCGATTTTCTCCCGTACACGCAAGACGGACGGAAGCGGATTTTTTAAAACTTAAGAGACAGCAGTTTCTTGCGGACCCGCAGCCGCCACATTTAAGATTAACGCCCGCATACTTTGCAGTTGATTATCACAAGACGGGCGGGCGGTTAAACAATCAGTTGAGTTCCAGACCGGCCGTCTCATTGCGATCGCAGAGCGTGTACTGCGGTACTAGTCACCGCGGTTGCGGGACCGCGCGGGCGCACCCGCCGTGCAACGGGAGCCGCAATCAGTCGCAACCGCTGCGCAGAATTGCTTTGATCTTTTATAATACATATTCTATATTCTACAATATGTGGTAAATATCGCACCGTGAGTCCTTAGCCTTAGTCTATAAATACAGTTAAAAAGACAATTTGGGATTAAAATATAACATGAACATTTTCTATATGAGGTGAAAATTTGAGCTCCCCTGCCCTAAGCAACCTATTCACTTGGGGCTTGGAGACACTCAAGATGTCACTTGAGATGAGTGGGGAAAGGTGGCTAAGAGCATGAAAGTGAAATATGCTTGAGAAAACGTATAACACATTTTTTTTATAGGTCGGCAAAAGAGGAGTCGCCTTACTTGATGGTGAGCATTCTCCACAAGCAACAAACGTGCGATTTTAGTCATTAATCATTTTATCGGATCTCTCGTTCACATTTATAGACATCATATTATAATATTGGAAATTGCCCTCGCACTGCTAGTGTTGTGTGTAATAACAAAGATATTATAGTATGTTGCTACCCTTTAGGGAATTAGGAGATGGGGTATGGCGCGGGCACGATTAGGCCTGCGGTAAGCTCACTCAGACGGCGAAACATAACGCATGCGTGTTCTTAGGTACAACAAAATGAAATGTAATAATTTGCATACTGTCGTGCATACTAATGTCTTGAGTAAACAAGTTATATGAAATTAATAATTGCTTACCATTATCTCGTCCTTTTCGTTTCTTCTTCCCACTAGAGCTGGAGGATTTTGTCTTATCCGACTTATCTTTACTCTTCCAACGGCTTAACATTTTTATTTATTAACTACTTATCACATTTTACATTACACACTCCTTTATACACATTTTGCACAGAACACTTTTGCACTGTTTAATTTTTGGTGATTGATTTTTCCATACACTAAACCACTTACTAGAATATAGCACATTTTCATAAAATGTTCATAAAATTCACTACACTTAGATTTTATTTTAATTTTAGATATGTAAATATTCGTTTGTTTCAATTCCAGTTCCTTATCGTTGGTGTTCTAAGTTTCTATGTTATAAGAAAATTAGTCTTTGTTTCATATAGTGTACTGTAACACGGTTTTAAAGCTAAGTGTTAATGCCTGAGAATAAAGAACATAGATTTTATTAGTCACTGTTAGTGCCTGATTTGTGGGCATTGTTCAAAATAGGCCTTGTGAAAGGCCTACAATGAACAATTCACATTATCAGTGTCTAGTGTTGTTTATCTTTAATACCTATCCCGGTTTCATATTCTTATTTTATCCCTACGTATGATTTAATGATTTTGATTAGTAATATTTTTACGATTGTGTGCAAATCATAGCATAAAAAATAATTATGTATAAAATAATAAAATAGACCAAGAAATGAATAAAAACAGGAATAAATAACTGCCATTTTCAACTGATTTTAATTGATTGGTTGAATTTACAGGTTATTTACATAGGTTTAAGACATTTACTTCCGAAGATTAGTTTCTTGTTCTTTTATTACGATGTCGTAAATAGTCAGTTTAAGTATTTTTTTAGGTAGGAACTAATTGCCTTAACCCATCATGGGTGTCGCCAACACCTATCAAAGTACTACACAACTTACAGAGACTAAGCAGTAGCGCTCTGTTATAAAAGTTAACCTGTTAAACTTCGGTTTCTAAGCGCATTACCAAACGTGAAGAATATAGCAAACCCTGTCATGTAGACGAGACCTTAAAATCCAGCTGAGGACATCACTTCATGTCAGGAAGTACTTAAAACTTCGAACGTTGTTCCTAAAGTTTAAATGTGGTTATAAAATTGTCAATGTTACTTCCAACGAGATAATACTACCTTCTTATTTATTCATTAGCATATAAGCGATAGTAAAAGGCATGACGTATGTACATTACATAAAGGATAGTTACAATATATGGTTACGATGTTTGAAACATAACGTAGGCTTCGGGCTACGGCAGACTACGGCAGGCTACGGTGAGCTACGACATGCTACGGAGGGCTACGGCAGGCTACGGCGTAGCCTATCGGGCACGAGTCAGGCTATTAGGATTTTGGCTTAAGCTGCAATATGAATACGGATTTTATTACGTTTACTATAGTAACCTTTATTGTTCCAAAGTATTAGGTAATAAGCACCCCAATTTAAATAACATTCGGACAATTATTTAACAATATAAAGTTATTTGCTTTTCGCCACTTCTGTTACAAGTTCTTTCTAAAAGAAGTTACAAATATTCAAGCGATAATCAATTGTATATTCTGGGGCATTAGTGAGAATTAAATATTGAATTATAGTAATATTAATTTGCTCGCTTTTGAAGTCTGAATAGAGTTAGTCTACATGAATTCATGTTCATGGGATATTGGCTGGTAACAAATAGACATACTGTTTAAAAATTAAAACGTTGAAAACAAAAATAGGCTTTTTGTATGAATTAAAACTACTCAACTCAAATTCAAAAGCATTTGTTAAACCATAATTTGAAACGTCAACAAATATAAAGAAGAACGAGCAAGAAACTCCATTCGTTATTCTTAACTCCCTTTACTCTTTCTCTAAACAATATTCAAGGAGACTTAAGTGGGTACATTAAATAAACAATAGGAATTGTTTCATTTCAACAGAATTTTCTACCACAAAGTAAATTCTGAATACGCAGTTAATAAAGTTAATAATTATATTAGCCAATTACTACAATGAAATAAAAAAGGTTTTACCAATTTTTCTTTGTTTCATTTTTTTCAAGGCCAGCAAGAACAATAGATACCTTAAAATATTATATTTCATTGTTTTATGAGGAGTGTCTCTTTGGTCTTGGAGTCTCGGGTTCAATTCCCGTTACGTAAAGTGTATGTTTTTTTTATAATAACTTGGAGTCTGGAATGGTGTCTGGTATTTGGCAGTGGACTCATCCCTTTTTGCCTAGCTATGACTCCTAATGTTAGGTATTAGTGGAAACTGGATTTATAGTATAATTTGGACATTTGTCTACCTCTTCAGGGATTAAAAAGCGCATGACTCGCCGCCCGACCATAACCAGGCCCGAGCGTACGGTGCGTCGCGTTCCGCGCGCGCCTCAAGGAGCCATTTGACTACCACAGACGGGGCCCAATAGGGCAGATGCCGATACGGAACCGTCGAAGACTTAACGGGTAGCCGGGCTTCAGCTCGAAGTCCAAGAGTAGGACCGGGGTGGTTTTTAGTCAGTACGAGACTGACGCCTCGTGTGGGAAAAGTTCAGGATGATTTTCGCCCCTCAAACAAAAAAAGGATTAAAAAGCGCGATGTTTTAAGTTCATTTCCACGTGGACTGGCGGCCATTTTGCCTTTCGAAAACTTCCAAAAGTTACGAATATTCTGGTTTATTGAAACTTACAACCCTTTATTAAGTTTTCGGGTATTTGATTACTGCTCTACGCAACCACGCTACCAATGAAGCTTTATGTTCAAGTTTAAGGTCCGGAAAAGAATATTAGTATTATTTTTATTGTTTTTGTTATTAATATGATTATGTCTTAAATGTGAAGAGTACGATAAGAGTTCTTTTAAATAATTTTAACTCGTCGTAGTACCGGTTTTATAGACACAATTAAAGAACAATAGGTCGCGGTCACCGGTGACCGCTTGGTGTTTTGACAGTTTCATCTTAAGTTGTATATATTAATTTTGTATAGTTAGTTTTAATTTTATTAAGTTTTTATTTGAACAAAAATAACTATAATTTATCATTGTACGGACATATGTGACGGACATACAGACGAGATATAGTGACCAGATTGGCCATATATTAAAGAAGGCCAAATTAAAAGTACCCTTAATGTACAAAATGATTTTTGTATTAATTTTCCAAATAAAAGTAGCCTATGTTACTCTTAGTACATAGCTACCTGCCAATAAAAGTCTTACAAAATTGGTCCTGCTATTTCAGAGATTAGCGAGTACAAAAGGCAGACTCATAGACTAAAATTGTAATATAATTTTTTTGGTATGTGTATCGAATGTATATTACAGTAATATGCTTATGTATGTAGTATAAAAACGGTTATTTTAATATTATAAACCGACACTCCAATTTTATTTATCTGTATAGAGGTACTGTATATACAATTATATGTAGATTAAGTTAAACATTAGGTACTCGAAAGTATTTATAAGGATTCGATCCCGTTCATGGATGAGTCTGAAGTTGGCACCATGTCAACTGTTGCATACTTCATATAATATCAAGGTTCTTTTAATTCTCTTGCCATTTTATTTAGACTGTTTAGAAGGGTACTACCGACAATTTTACAAAAATACAACTTTTCAAAAAGTGACTTTCGAAGAGAAATTATTATGTTCTAACTAAT